GTATTTGTGAGTCACTGTTTGAGGAGTTGAATTTTTTGTTTTGTTTTATTTGGTTTATTTTTTGAAATTAATATTTTTTGTAAACAGGAGCAGATATCATAAGATATTTTTCTTCCTCTGCTGCTGCCTTTAATTTAATTTAATTTGTATTGTTCTGCTTTGTTTAATGTTTTGTTTTTTAAAATGAAATGAATAAATACTATAAACTAAAAAACCATCTGTGACCCTGTCACAGATGGTTTTCTTGAAAAGGAACGGAGGGTAAAATTTATAAAGCGACACATTTTATTATGTAGGCCGAAACTGAGCTTCCTCTTGTTGAAAGACCAGCATCAACCACTGGTCCCTACAAGCCTCCTCTGGTGTGTTCCCAGGCCTGTGGACTGCTATACACTGTATAGTCATTATTTAATGATTTGAATATTGTTTGTACCAAAGTTAAAACGTGACACCTCATGCTCACTCTGTACTACGCTGKATAAAACTCATGTTTTTATTTAAATGCAGACAGTTTTCATTGTCCAGCTGCTGGCTGAACTGACTGTAAATAAAAAGTGGTGTGGCCGCACGGTGGTGCTGGTTCTCATGGTTTCTCTCCGGCCTCATCACCTCCTCTTCAGAGAACTGAAGCTTTCTTTGAATGAAATGATTCCACAGTGAATCTGGTTCATCAGGTTCTGAAATGTTTTTACTGACGTCGGACAGAGAGGAGCAAACTAGATCCATCTGTTGTTCAAACTAAACACTTCTTTAACTGTAAAACATTAAAGTTCAGTAACTGTCTGTCTGTCTAACCTGAGAATAGGTGTGTCTTTGACCCTGAAGGACATGTCCTCTGAGCAACATGTCCTCTGAGCAACATGTCCTCTGAGCAACATGTCCTCTGAGCAACATGTCCTCTGAGCAACATGTCCTCTGAGCAACATGTCCTCTGGAATGGTCCATATGTTGTACAAAACAAAAATCTTCCAGTGCTTTCTGTTACGTATTTATCATCTTAATCCATGATGTTTTAAAACTCTGAGTCGTAAATAAGTGAGCATGTTTAAAATAAAATAAATTAATGTTTTACATAAAATAATTAAGCAAATGAATGTYATGTACAGTTTTTCATGTCCAGATATTTGTTTATGTGTAGAATCTCTGCAGCAGAATACAGAGTTGTAAAGTAACTAAGTACAAATACTTTGTTACTGTACTTGAATAGAAATTTTGGTTATCTGTACTTTACTTGAGTAATTATTTTTCAACGTACTTTTTACTTTAACTCATTACATTTTTACACAATTATCTGTACTTTCTACTCACTACATTTTAAAAAAAGTAAGAAGTAGAAAGTCGTTACTCCTATTTTACTTCGAGTTGTTATTACTTAAAAAATACTCTCCTGATAAATTGTG